ATATATATATAGTGTTGAGAGAAAAAAGCAAGAGTGCTTCAGAATGATATGTGAAGCACAATGTCCTCTGTAGAAATATAAAGCACACACACATAGATATCATTTTCAAAGACATAAATACATTCATTGATGCCTGTAATAAAGAGCCCTCATGATGTAGTGGTTACTCTTTGGGCTTCCATCTTCAAGGTTAGCAGTTTGAAACTACCAGCCATTCTATGTGGAAAGAGGGGGCTTTCTACTCCCATAAAGAGTTACAGCCTTGGAAACCCACAGGGCAGTTCTACCCTGTCCTATAGGGCCACTGTGAGTTGGAATCAACTCAATGGCACTGTTTTGATTTGGGATGAGAAGAAAGGAACAGGAGTGAGAATTGAAAAAGAATAGCATAAAATAAAGTTGGTCCTCCATGAATTGATTCTGGTAATATGCATCTCTGCTCCTGAAGTGCAAAATTAAACAAAGATACAAAATTAAAGAAATATGAGGCAAGGGCATCCGATGAGGTTTGGGAATGGAAATAAGAGAGAGAGAGTTTCAAAAATAGTCTCCTTGGAGATTTAGAAAATGCACCTGTTACAGGCAGTGTTAAATGCCCATTGGAGGCTTATGGCCAGGAATTTTAAGTGTAACCAGTAAGCCTGTTTTGTCTGGTTCTCCATCATTACATAACTATTTAGAAGGGCAAGAGAGTTGTTTTTGTTTTTGAGGGAAGAGAAATTTAGTGTATTTTTGAAAGCCAATAGAAATGTGCCCATAGAAAAACAGGATGGAAATCCTGATGGCGAACAATGGACATGCCACATCCTGGCCCGGGACAGGGCTAGGCCTCTTCTGCTGCGGGAGGAGAAGGAAGAAGTCAATGCAGAGTTCATCATAAGTCGGGGAGGCTGGAATGGGGAATTCCCATCTCCATGCTTTTGTCTTGACTGTGAACAGACCCAAAGTACAAGCACGTACACCTCACTGGCTCTCCCAGGATCACTCCCCACTCAGGTGTCCTGTGGATGATGCCTGTGTTAGGTCAGATTGACTGGAGAAACAAATCCAGGGACACGCGTACACGTGTACGAGAGAGCTTTGTATCAAGAAGTAGTGATATATCAAGCACACATCCCAGCCCAATCCAGATCAAGTCCACAAGTCTCTCTTCAGACTCACACAGCCACATGCAGGAAGATCACAGGCCAATGGGTGCAGATTTGCGTGGGTCTAATGTTGGTGGCCGCATCCCAGGGCTTTCCACCACCAGGGTCAGCCAGCAGGAAGGTGAAGGCAGAGGGAGAGGGAAGGTTCCCAGGGTCCTCCTTTTGAGAAGGCTGCCCCCCACCAGGAGGCACCATCAGGCTGTGACACCCCTACACTTTTTATCTATCTCCAAGTTGGCATGCACTGATGTAACTACCACAATGTCTGTAGTGACAGCAGACATCTGGAAGTCACATGCCCCGGTGCAATGGGATTCATCTCCCTGTGAAAGCATTCACCCAGCCCCCCTTGGTTGCTGGCCCTCAGCGTCATTGGTACAACTTGTCTGGACAGAAATTTGGCAGTGCTTGTCAAGAGTCTTACAATCAGTTGTACCATAGTACCCTGTACTCTGCTTCAAGAAATGCAGCTAAGGGAGTAATAGGAAAAGCACGCGAGGAATTGTGTGTCAGGAGAGCCCGTCTAGGGTGACTCTTTGATGGCAAAATTGGCCACCACTTAAATGTTTCAACAGTAGCAGAATGATTAAATAATAGGATACATGTAGAATAAAGCATTTTTGATCATTTTATTGGGGGCTCATAATAAAGCATTTTTATTGCCATTAAAATCGTGTTTTCAAGTAACAACCGCATAGGAAATCTGCATAATATTAGAACCGTGTTCACAGGCTACTTTCTATACATCCAGATTAATTAATGCTCATGGGCATTAATTAGAACTGAAGTGCATAGCCAGCCTTTTGAGCCCTTCGCCAGATCTGACTCTGTGTGATTTCTCCAGGGGGAACCTGCTCACTTTGAGTATCTGATGTACCCATTGCACTCTGCCTCCATCACTGGTTTAGCCGCCTGCATCCGCAAACCTCTCATTGCCACCTGCTCTCTGGACCGCTCTGTTCGCATCTGGAATTATGAGACAAAGTAAGGAAGGGAAGGCTTTGCTACTATGGTATGCAGGGTTTCCGTTACTCAATGCTGTTGCCTGGAATTATTTTAATTGCAATTTTAATTAGATGCCGTTTTTAATTACTTAGAAACTTCCGGTGGAAAAGGTGATTTGTTTGTTTTTCTAATCAAGTCAGTCAACCTCCCTGTTTCTCACTCATGGGTGGCCTGAAAAATTACTGTTTGATGAAATGTTTAATACCCGCCAAGTGCTAGGCTAGACAGTAGGGATGTAAAGATGCCCCCGCAAACCCTCAACATCACACCTTCTTGCATACGCTCCTGTTTCCTTCCAACTCTCCTGGTCCCTCCTCACGACCCTTGGATCTCCCTTGTGACTCATCGAGCTCCCCAGACCATCAGTCCCACTATCTTTTCCTTCGTAATCAACTCCCTAACGATTTTATCCCCGTGCCTCAACTTCTCTGAGAATCTCCACCCTGGCGATTGGCCCCACACTCTTTCCTTTGCTCGTGTGCACGGCTCCTGAGGCCGCTTGATGGACTTGCACAGCACGTGTGGCTTTTTAGAAACCCAACAGAACTGTGTCTCTAACCCTACTAAACGATCCCCTGATTTACCAAGCTCAGTACTGGACACTCTGTTCAAATGACCAGACTGGGGGATGGAGACAGGGTCAATCAGTCATTGCAAGCAATGACATTCTCAAATGCTGGCATAAAAAGAGAACAGATGTCATGGTGGACCTGGGGGATTTAGTGGTCAAGGCTTATCATTCAATCCTTGATCTTTTCCCACAGCACTCTGGAACTGTATAAGGAGTACCAAGAAGAGGCATATACCATCAGCCTTCACCCATCTGGACACTTCATCGTAGTAGGGTTTGCTGACAAGTTACGCATTATGAATCTCCTCATTGATGACATCCGCGCCTTCAAAGAATACTCCGTTAGAGGATGCAGAGAGGTAAAAGAATACTCCGTTAGAGGATGCAGAGAGGTAAAAGAATACTCCGTTAGAGGATGCAGAGAGGTAAAAGTTGCTGGGGATGAGGTGGCTGTCCTTGGACAGCCAGAGTGAAGATGCCAAGAAGTCTGGAGCGCTGGGAAGTGGCACCAAAGTCTCTCTCATGGCACTGCAACCTGAGTTGATTCCAACCCCCGGTGGCCCAGTGCGTGCAGAATAGAGCTGTGAGTGCAGGGCCATCAGCGCTGACGTGTCAGAGGGAGGGCGCCAGCTCCTACTCCCCAGGCACCACTGGGTGGGCTCCAGTTTCCAACCTTCCAGTTAATAGCTAAGCGCATTCTACGTAACTTTAGTGACTGAGAAAAAGAATTCTCCAAACTTACTGATTCTATGCCCGTTTTCTTATGCCCACCGAAATATTTCATTGACTCCAGGCCTCCTAAGAGCCAGCTGCTTGGTCTTCTCTGTTGGCTGTGGAGTGCTCAGAAAGAGGAGTGTCAGGGTCAGGGTCACAGCTGAGAAGGCAAGGTTTGGAGAGAGGGAGGAGCCGGAGGAAAATCAGTGTCGACAGCCAATCAGATCTTACCCTGAAATGACTAGCAGCCAGTCACAGCTTACCCTCAAATGGCTTGTAGAAACAAGATGGCGATTTGGGGAATAATTTCCCCACTCATTCGGAAGCAGTGCGCTCACAGACCAAAATGAAAGCCATGCCCAGTGGTGATCCAGTCCGCTTCCTGATTCGTGCACATGGCGCAGTGTCAGCCCCGGGACCAGTAGAAGCTAGAGAACAGGCTCAACCCAAGAGTCACCAATTCTTCGCCCTGCTTACATCTTGCCCCACCCCCACTCAGAGTTGCAGCCTGAACTCGGGTCAGAGCAGCTCTTGACTGGCACCATGTTGGATTGTTCCTTTCTCTCATTCTTGCTCTCTCGTTACATTTTCCTGCAGTGTTGCTTTAGCAATGGAGGTCACCTGTTTGCAGCAGTCAATGGAAATGTGATTCACATTTATACCACCACAAGCCTGGAGAATATCTCAAACCTGAAAGGACATACTGGGAAGGTAAACGTGTGAACAGGGCCCAGAAAAACAAGGGACACCGAGCCCAGCATTGTGGAGAAAAGTAAAGGGATTCCTAAAAGAGAGACGAGGAAAGCCACTTCCTCCTGGAGCCCACTGTTGTCTGAAGGGTTGAAGTAGATGCAAATGAAAGCACAGATCACGTTAATTGCTAACCTCAGTGTTGTTGTTGAGTGCCTTCGAGTCAAATCTGACTCGTAGCGACCCTAGACGCAGAGACTCAGAGTGGACCCTACCAGAAGGGAACACTGCCTGCTCCTGGGCCAGGCTCACAGCTGCACTTACGTTTGAGCTCATTGTTGCATCTTGCCGAGGGCCTTCCTCTTTACTGCCTCTGCCCCTCTGCTTTGCCAAGCACGATGTCCTTTTCCAAAGACTGGTCCAATCGCACGAGTCGAAACCTCACCATCCTTGCCTCTCAGGAGCATTCTGGCTGCACTTCTACCAAGAAATCCTAACTGCAGTAAACCAAGACCAGACTCTGCCGTCGAGCCCAATGGCGACCCCTTAGCAAAGAGTAGAACTGCCCCTGCAGGTGCCCGAGACAGCACCTCTGTACGAGCATGGAAAGGCTCTTCCTTCCCCCGTGGAGCAGCTGGTGGTCTCTAATGCGCGACCCACTGTGCCACCAGGGCCGCTCACGAACTGCAGTAGAGCCAAGGAAAGAAAATATGGAGTGTTGCTAGAGGACAAGACAAACAGTTGGCATCATTTAGGTTGGAGTGCTTGATCCTAAAAGAGTTAGTTGGAATTAACCAGGCATAGGGTGGAAATAGGCCAGCCCTAGTGGTGTAGTGGTTATATGTTGGGTTGCAATCCGCATGATCAACAGTTTGGAACCACCAGCCCCTCAACAGGGGAAAGACTGGGCTTTCTGCTCCCATAAAGAGTTACAGTCCCAGAAACCCTCAGGGGGTCGCTCTGAGTCAGCACTGACTGGATGGGAGTGACTTTGGGTTTCTTGTTTGTTTGTTTGTTTTTGTTTTTCAGGGAATAATCATAGCAAATAAGCATCCAAAGACCCTGAGATGGGAGGGTGCATGGGGTATCCGAGAAAGTGAGGGGTTTGTGGGGTTGGAACAAAGGTGTCATAAAATGCCAGGGTGAGCTGCGATAGAAGAGATTGGCAGGGGCCTAAGTACATGGGCCCCCAAAAGAACCCATGCACTTGAATTGTGGTGCTGGAGAAGACTATTGAAAGTACCATGGACTGCTAACATGACAAACCAACTGTCTTGGAAGAAGAACAACCAGGGTGCTCCTTAAAGATGGGTTAGGACCTAAACCACAGTTTTAGTGGTGGGGACAGAAGAAAAATACTAAAAGCTCCATCTTTCTCCCACAAAGATGCACTAGAGAGCCACATGAAATCAATCACTACCCTACACAGAGTCGCTGTGGGTCAGAACCAACTGAATAGCACCTAACAACGGGCTCCATTTGAGATGATTTTGTATGTGGTAGGAGGTAGGAGTCAAACTTCATTCTTTCCATGCAGATAGTCAATTGACCCATCACCATTTATTGAAAAGCCTATGCAAATTGCCTTGGCATGTATTAGTCTAGGTACTTTGGAGAAACAAATCCACAGCAACTCATGGATAAGAGAGTTTTATGTAGAGAAAATGTGCATCCCGAAAACATCCCAACCCAATGCTGCCCAAGCCCACAAGTCCAACATTAACCCAACACCAGTCCACAAAGTCCTCCACCTCACAAAACAGAGGCAATGATGCCGACTGCAGGGGGAAAGCTGAGTCAGTGAACGAATGAGCATCTCAGCACTAGCAGGGGTCTCACACGGCTGCTCCAACACCCAGGGCTGCATCGGGATAGGTCCATGTAGCTTCTCCTTGGGGATGTCTTGTAGGAAGTCAATCTTGCAAGCTGAAGTAGGGTACTGCTAAGGCAGCTACACCCTGGTGCGACCATCACAAAGCAAGAGACCCGAGAACTAGAAAGGTGAGGCTCACCACCCATTTATCTCTCTGTCTTTCAATTATCCCCACATGTGATTATCGGCCAGGCTGGCACAATTAACTAACTCAGCATCCTTGTCAAAAATCAATTGACCATCAGGCTGTGGGTTGATCTCTGTACTCTCCATTATTTTCCATTGATCCAGAATGTCTATCCTCATGACAATAAGGGCTGTCTTTTTTTTCCAATTACTACACTTTAAGTGTTAAAATCAGATATGACTTCTGAAAGTTTGTTCTTAGTTCAGAAGATTGTTTGGATTATTTTGATTCCTTATATTTCTATATGAGTTTTAGGATCAGCTGATCAATTTCTGCAAAAATAGCTAGTATTTTGATAGAGATTGTTTTGAATCTGTAGACCAAGTTGGGTAATATTGAGTAAATTGTTTTGTAGCTTTTAGTATACCAGTCTTGTACACTTTTAAATTAAATTTATACCTAATTGTTCTATTTATGTTGATGCGATTGTGAATAGAATGGTTTTCATAATTTCATTTTCAGCTTGTTCTTTCTCTCAAGTATATAGAAGCATAATGGAGTTGTATATTGATTTTGTGTCCTTCAGCCCTGCTGAACTCGCCATTCTAATAATATTTTAATGCATTTCTTGGAATTATCTGTATTCATGTAATCTGAAAATAAGGCCAATTTACTTCTTCCTTTCCAACCTGGATGTTGTTTACTTCTTTTTCTTATCTAATTTCCCTGTCTCAAATCTCCAACACAGTGTTATATAAACGTGACAAGACCAGACACCTTTTCCGTTTCCTGAACTTAGAGGGAAAGCATTAAGTCTGCCACCATTGCAATGTTCTCACTGCCGTTAAGTCAGTTCCAACTCACAGTGACCCCCTAGCACAGACTGAACTCCCCTTTAGGGTTTTGAGTCTTTAAACTTTCAGGGAGCTAACAGCCTCATCGTTCTTCCTCAGAGCGGCTGGTAGGTTCAAACCACTTACCTTGTGGTTAGCACCTCAGTGCGTAGTCCACAACACCACCAGTCTTAGCTGTGAGGTTTTCATAGATGCCGTTTATCAGGTTGAGGAAACTTCATTCTATTCCTAATCTATTCAGTGTTTTCATCATGAACGGCGGCTTGGAATTTTTCAGATGCTTTTTTTTAATACATCTATTGAGATGACCATATTGTTTCGGCCTTTATTAACGTAGTGTCTGCCATTACCTGATTCTCAGATGTTAAATCAGCCTTGCATTGTTGAAATGAATTCTATTTGATCCTTGTATATAGAGTTTTGTAATCCTGCAGAATTAAGTTTACTAGTAGTTAATTGAAGAGTTTTTTATGTTTATATTAATAGGGACAGTGGCCTATGGTTCTCCTGTCTTATAATGTCTTTGTTTGCTTTTGGTATCAGGGCAATACTGGCCTCATATGATTAGCTGGGAAGTGTTCCCTCCTCATTGATTTCTTGGAAGAATGGAATAGCTGTAATGTCAGACAAAAGAGACCTTTTAAAAGTTACTAGAGAAAAATAAGGATAATTCACAGTGATAGGACAAATTCCTATGTGGACATAAATTACCAAAACTGATTAGAGAAGAAAGATGAGTATCAATCCTTTATGAATTCTGCCATTGTGCTTGTTTCCATGTAGCTCCTAGCATCTCTTAATTTTACTCCGTGGATATTTCCTTTTTAAACAGCACCCCATGAGTATGAAGTTCTCAGTACTCTGTTCCACTTAAAGTGAGTCTCTCTGGCAGAGGTGTAGACCTTGACTTATAGTCTGATCTTTCCATAGGCAGAACCCTTATACCACTGCATCAGCGCTAGGGCCCCAGACGGGCATCTAGTCGCAGCTGACTCCCAACTCCTGGAAAACCCACGTGTCTCAGAGGAGAGCTGTGCACTGTCAGGTTTTCAGGGACCTGCTTTCCCTGGAGTGACAACCCTCGGGGTGGGCGGAGGGGGGGCGCGCTAGGTAAGGAAAGTAAGACCCTGTCCTCGTGGCCACACCTGCTTGGAGTCCAGCTTCTGCAACATGTGGCTTGGGCTGGGATAAGAAATGCTAACAGCCTGGCCCTCTTGGGGTAAAATGCTAGCCCAAGTCTGGGGACTTGAAAGGGCATCTTCTTAGCCACACCTGGTCTGGAGTAGAGGCCACAGAAGTACAGTTTCCTGAGGCAGGAAAATAAAGAAGCAGGTCAGAATTCAAATGTACCAGACTGTTCTGAATGAGAGTGAAGACATTTTCTGGAATGTTCCTCCATCATTTGCTGTAGGCCCTTAGGGTGTTCCCCGCCTCCCCACCCCCACTGGTGGTTATGATGTAATGGTTTGATTTGGTAGTTATGTTATGATGTAATCATCCCTCATGATCTGATCTGATATGCTGACCCAATCAGCTGTAAGGACCTTTGTGTGGGATACTAAGCCCTTCATCGGATCACAGCCCTGATCCAGTGAAAGGGGAGACCCCTGGGATGTGGCCTGTGTCACCCTTTGCCTTGCACGAGAAGGAAAGACCACATACCACCCAGAAAGAAGAGCCAGGCGCAGCATGTGTCTTTGAGACCCAGGGTCTCAGCGCTGTGAACCTGCTAGATCCAGGGAAGATTGATGCCAAGGAGCATGGGATCCGCAAGTTCAGAAGGACACGAGGACCTTCCTCCAGAGCCAAGAGAGGGGGAGAGACCATACATTTTGTTTTTGAAGCCATCCACTTGCAGTCCTTCTGTTAGAGCAGAGCTAGATAAACAAGACACCAGCTAACATAGTTCATGGAAGAGAGGGTCAGCTGAGCTCCTATCCTTCCATTCCCAGAAATCCGGCTGTGTCCTATTTTTGCAACTTCCTGTAAATGTGTGATCCTTTTAAAATATTTTTAAATGTTTATGCATAACAATAATCGATTGGTTGTAATGTGATAGAAACTTATATTTGGGTTATTATGTTCATAAAGTCAACAAGACATGGCAATGTCTCATCTTTGGAACTTAACAAGCCCCTGGGGAAATGACCTATAAACATTCCCAAGAAGCTGTTTGGGGCATCTTGAGAGCCTCTCTCTGATGCCTCAATCTAGTGGTGCAGCTGAGCAGTGGGCCCCCTTTCCCGGGTTGGGGTGTGCGCATGGATGTGTGGCGCACACTCACTCTCGTTGGCTCTGTCTTCTCCCTGCAGATTCGCTCGGTTGTATGGAACGCAGATGACAGCAGGCTGATTTCTGGCGGCACAGACGGGGCGGTCTATGAATGGAATCTAGCCACAGGAAAAAGAGAGACCGAATGTGTGCTCAAGTCCTGCAGCTATAACTGCGTCAACATCTCTCCCGATGCCAAAATTATCTTTGCTGTTGGATCGGACCAGACCCTGAAGGAGATTGCAGACTCTTCGGTGAGCCTGTCCCTGCCACAACCTCGGGCTGCTGCACCGAGCCCAGAAGACAGGCTCCCAGGCACGCGGAGAGAGCGTGCATGGGAGCAGGGCCATTGAGAACAGAGCCCTTGGACACCACCTGCTCCACACTGCACACTCCTTCTGGCCCCGGTGTTCTGATCACTTTCTGAATTTCCTGCCCAGGTGACTAGGTTACATTGTGGGACCTTGGTCCATGCTTACTGTCTACAACTTCTTTTCCACTGTGTAATCACAGAGGTTAGTGACATTTCTAAACCATTCTTCATCCTTTTGTCTGGACCTAATTTCCTGGGATACGGACAGAATTAGAGATAGAGCCACTGTCATCTAGCTGTGTATTAGTCTGGGTACTTTAGAAAAACAAACCCACAGAAACTCATGTACAAGAGAGAGTTTTATATAAAGGTTAAGTGCGCATCAAGAAAACATCCCAACCCAGTGCTGCCCAAGCCCACAAGTCCAACATTAACCCATTAGCCCATATGGCCAACACCAATCCACAAAGTCCTCCATCTCACAAAGCAGACACAATGAAGCCAACTGCAGGAGGAAAGCCGAGTCAGTGAGCCTGTAAGCATTTCAGCGCTGGCAGGGGTCTCCACACGGCTGCTCCAGCACCCAGGGCTGCATCAGGGTAGGTCCATGTGGCTTCTCCTTGGGGATGTGTTGAAGGAAGTCAGCCATGCCAGCTGAATCTGGGAACTTCTAAGGCAGCTGCACCTGGTCCGACCTTCACAAATCAAGAGACCCGAGAACTAGAAAGGCGAGGCCCACTGAGCCTTTTATCCCTCCGCCCTTCAATTAATCCCACGTGTTTATAGGTCAGCTTGGCACAATAAACTAACTCAAGCTACTAACTAAAAAGCTGGTGATTCAAACTCACCAGCTGCTCTGGAGAATGAAGTGGCTGCGGGCTTTTGTACAGATTTACAGCTTTGGAAACCCTATAGGGCATTTTCTACTTTGTCCGACAAGGTTGTTAAGAGTTGGAATTCATTCTCCAGCAGTGGGTTGGGTTTGGGTCTCGACTATCATCCAGTCTTGCCACTGTATTCCTTAGAAGGCCCCACACTCTGGCACGTTGAAATTAGCACATTTGGGTTTAGCGGGGAGAGATGAGCTCAACAGAGACCCTTCATCCTACTGACTCAGTAGACAGGGTGTGCGCCTTGCTCCAGGAGCCAAAGACAAGTGATCAGCATTGGCTCTTCTGGCAGCTTTTCATCAGTGCTCTCACCATACAGTGAGTTGCCTGAGAAAGTACAGAGCTACCACTGCAGTGAACTGACCTGAGAAGGGTTTCCCCAGGGGTGGAACACAGCTTAGAGTAGGGCATCTCTCCTATGAGCTCCCAAGTACCTGGTCTCAGTTCTTTGGTGGATTTTATAAAAGGTTCTTCCAGAATGCAGTTCCTTTAGAGCAGGGCCATGATATACTTTTTGTGGTATCTCCTACTGGTTCATACACTGATAGTACACAGCAACAGTAAGTAAATGTTAGATGGGTGCTTGGATAGATGGATTAGGATATACCTGCTTATAAACCAAGCTGCACTAAGCCAAATGATTATCAAACTCAGATGTGCAACTCACTGCCATCAAGTAGATTCCAACTCATAGAGACCATGTACGACACAGTAAAACTGCCCCCTAGGGTTTTCAAGGCTGTAAATCTTTACTAAGGCTGACTTCCTCTTCTTTGTCCTGTTAGTGGTTGGTGGGTTCAAACTGCCAACCTTTCGGTTAGCAGCTGAATGCTTGACCACTGCACTACCAAGGCCCCTTGTATATAATAGCTATTAGTAAATGTTTGCTGAATCAGTGCCTAATCGACACCATATTCTTAGTTCAAGATGCACCATACATACCATAGCCATCAACAGCACAGGCTCTGAAACCTAATCATTACTTATTAGCCTGTGTGAGTTTGGGCAAGTAGCTTGACATTTCTGCATCTTTAAAATGAGGAAAAATCATAACTGGCCCTATGGGTTGTGAGACTTGAATGAGTTGCAACAAGTTAAAGATGTAGAACAGTACCTGATGCATAGAAAGTGCTATGTAAAGACTTCCTGTTAGTAGTATATAATGAGTGCTGGTGGCATGGTGGGTTATTAGACTGCTAGCCAGAAGGTTGGCGGTTCAAACCCAGCAACTGCTCCATGGGAGAAAGATAAGGCAGTCTGCTCCTGTAAAAAACGACACCCTTGCAATCTTAAGGAGCAGTTCTCTCTCGTTTGGGGTTGCAATGAGTCAGAATCAGCTCAACAGCAGTGATGGTGAACATGGCGATAGTATTGTTCCTACCTTCTAAAATTGATAGTTATCAGCCAAGCAACCAAAAAAGAGGTGGGTTTTGCCTTCTCTGTTCTAGGCACTATGCCAGATACGCTAAGGTATATATGTATAATATATATATATATATATACATATATATATATATATATGTATATATATATATATACATATATAAAGACTTTTTAAAAAATACTTTATCCTACATTATTTTCAGAGGAGAGAAAGAGAATGATATGAAGACAGTGAGGACATGGCTCAGCCAGCACCACCCAACACCCCAACCCCCACCCCACACACACTGAAGAGCAATGTGTCTGTTCCAGATCCTTCGAGAGATGTCGGCATTTGATGTCATCTACACAGCCATTGTTATCTCACATTCTGGGCGTATGATGTTTGTGGGCACCTCGATGGGCACCGTGCGTGCAATGAAGTACCCCCTGCCTTTGCAGAAAGAATTCAACGAGTACCAGGCCCATGCTTCTCCCATCACCAAGGTGAGAGGGCAGCTGCTCCTCAGGGACTCCGCCTCAGAACCATCATTCAGCACAGCCATTTGATCCTGACCTCCACATGCTTTCTTTATCCTCCCAGCCTCCCACGTGTCCTCTCTCCTTATTTATTCCCTCACCATAGTTATTCATCCATCCGACCAGCCAGCCAGTAAACATTTAGGGCTACTAATACCCTTTGCTTGAACCAATTATAAGATCTTTGGGTTGCTAACTAAAAGGATGGTGGCTCGAACCCACCAGGTACTCTTTGGGAGAAAAGGCCTGGTGACCTGCTCCTGTCAAGAGTTCAGCCTAGGAAAACCTCCGCGGCCATGCTACTGCAGCGTCCAGGGCTGCTACGAGTTAGAATCGACTTCCCCACAACAACAAACCACTCTGGAAGTTTATCCTAGGATCTCATCTGCCCCCTACAGACTCGCGCTTATCAACAAGATGGTTCACCCTAATATTATGAATAGTAATTGGCTATTTAGTAGATTATATAAGTGATTCAAGTAAGCATCGGGCTGTTAACCACGAGATCAGTGGTTCAAACCCACCAGTCACTCTGTGGGAGAAGAGGAGGTTCTCTATTCTCACAAAGACTTACAGTCTCAGAAACTCTGGGCTTAGTTGCCTGATGATGGATGGAGAAGCTCAATATCAGCACCTAAGGCTAGGAGCAGTTCTACCCTAGCCTATAGGGTCTCTGGGAGTCGGAATCTGCTCGGTGGCAGCGGGCTGGATTTGGCTTTCAGTAACAGGAGTCACCTAAGGAGTCCTGGCGGTGCCATGGTGAGCACTGCTGGCTAGAAGGTGAGCGCCTAACACACCATCCACTCACATGAGATAAACCAAAACAAGCCGGTGTTCCCTTGCTGGTGGGGCACAACTCAGAATGAAAAGAGCAGCCGTGAACAGTTAAAAATCAGAATTTGGAATGTACAAAATATGAATTAGGAAAATTGAACATTGTAAAAATGAAATGGGATTAATAAAAATTAACGTTCTAGGCATTAGGGAGCTGAAATGGACATTGGTCATTTTGAATCCGAAATCCATATTGTTTACTCTGCTGGGAATGAAATAATCAAAAGGAATGGCATTGTATTTATCGTCAAAAAAGGACATTTCAATATCTATCTTGAAGTACAATCCTGTTTGTGATAGGATTATCTATGTGCATAGAAGAAAATCCAATCATTGCAACTGTTATTAAAATTTATGCACCAACCACTAACGCTAGTGATGAAGAATCCTACCCATGACTTCAGTCGAAATTGACCGAACATGTGATCAAGATGCATTGATAGTTGGAAACAAATAGCTAAAGTTGGAAACAAACAGGAACCGTCATTGGAAATATGGTCTTTGCCATAGAAATGAAACCAGAGATCACGTGATAGAATTTTTCAAGACCAACAACTTTTTCATCATAAATAGTTTTTCAGCCACACAAAACTCCAGATGAAATACATAGAAATCACCGTGACTGCATCTGTGAGAAGAGCCCATGGAGAAGCTCAATGTCAGCACCTGAAGCTAGAACAAGGCTGACTGCAGAACAGACCTGCAGCTCAAATGGAGGGCCAGGTTGAAGCTGAAGAAAATTAAAGAGTTAAGATGTGGAAATAGGCCCTTGAGTCGATCCCACCTGAATTCCGAGAACATCTTGTGGTCGTCACCTAATCTGATGTCAATTTAAGGATTAAGAGTGTAGGGGTGGAGTCGAGGCTCTCAACCTAGAGATAGCCAATGAGACTTACGTGGACACCTTCTCCTGAGAATTCTGGGAAATCTGGTACCTCCTCCTTGATGGCGGAAGACACTTCTCTCGCTCTGCCACTTCCTGGGAGATGTTGCAGAAGACAAGCCACATGGATGCAACCAGATCTCCAAAGCCAGAGAAGCCAAAGAGAGACCCCTGTCAGCGCTGAGATGCTTACAACGTCATTGGACCCAAAGACTTTCTACCCACTTGTGATCTTCCTGCATTTGGCTTCATTGCATGTGTTTCATGAGTCTGAAGAGGACTTTATAGATTGATATCAGACATATGGGTTAATATCTGACTTATGGACTTGATCTAGACTGGGCTGGGATGTTTTCTCAATGTTCAATTGCTCTTGTATATAAACTTCCTTATTTACACATATGTGTGTTCATGGATTTGTTTCTCTAGTCTGCCCAGACTAACACACATCTGAAGAACAGATTTGACACATTGAACACTAATGACACAAGACCTGATGAGCTATGGGAAGACATCAAAAATAGCATACATGAGGAAAGCAAAAGGTTATGTAAAAGACAGGGAAGAAAGAAAAGATCAAAGTGGAAGTCATAAGAGACTCTGAAACGTACCCTTAATCATAGAGTAGCTAGGGCAAGTAGGAGACATGATGAAGAGCTGAACGAGAAATTCCAAATATTATCATGAAATGTGCAAAGATCTGGAGTTAGAAAGCTAAAATGAACATGCTCAGCAGATCCTAAACTCAGAACTGGAGAAAACCTTAAGTCTGAATTGTAATATTGAAAGTATCTGTGGACAAAATACTGAACAATGCAGGAAACATCAAAAGAAGTGGAGAGTGGGTGTCGTAAGAATGATGAAGTCAACATATGTACTAAAGTGCTGGCCACAGATGACGTATGTACAGATTGTGATGAGTTGTATGAGCCCCTAATGAAATGATTATTTAATAAATAAGATGGGAAAAATACAGAGTCACCATACTAACAAGAACTAGTAGACATTGAACCATTTCAAGAGGAAGCATATGAGCAAGAACTAACGGTACAGAAGGAGGAATTGCAAACAGCTCCTAAAGCATTAGCTGAAAACAAGGCTCCAGGAATTGACGGAATACCAACTGAAATAGTTCTACAAGCTGAGGAAGGCCTGGGAGCGCTCACTCGTCTATGCCGGGAAATTTGGAAGACAGCTGCTTGGCCAGCTGCCTGAAAGAGATTCATATTTGTACCCATTCTACAGAAAGGTGACCCAACAGAATGCTCAAATTATAGCACACTATCATTGATATCTTACGCAAGGAACAACTTACTGAAGTTCATCCAACAATGGTTGCAGCAGTACATTAACCGGGAGCTACCAGAGACTCAGGCCAGAGTCAGAAGAGGACATGGAACGAGGGCTCCCATTGTGGATGTCAGATGGATCTTGGCTGAAAGCAGAGAATACCCGAACCAGGTTTACTTGTGTTTTATTCACTTGCAAACATATTCAACTGTGTGGATCATGACAAACTATGGGTAGCCTTGAGAAAAGTGGGAATCCCAGAGCACTGCATTATGCTCATGAGGGACCTATGCGTAGACATGGGAACAGTTGTGAGGATGGCGCAGGACTGCAGTGCTGTGTGCATAAGGTCGCCACGGCTCAGCGCCAACTCGATGGTACCTAACAACAACAATCCCCAAAGGAGCCCCGACACACCCACGGGGTAATGACTCAGCTGCTAACCACACAGGCGGTAGTTTGAGAACAGACCCCGCATCCTGCTCCCGTGAAGTCTTCAGACTAAGACGTGCCTAGGGCAGTTCCACTCTGTCTGACCAGACCACCATGGTCCCTATCAACTCATCGGCACCCCAGTAGTCCATGATACGGATATCACCTGGTTTGTTCACCTACTGTCCGACTATTTGATTTTTCCCCTCGTTTTCCAACGCCCGCACGTAAAGCTGATCTGAACACACGTACAAGTTTTGGTGTGGACGTCACTAGTCATTTCCCTGGGAGTCCCGTTGCTGGATCGCATGGTACATATTTGTTTCGTTTTCTAAAGAAGCTTCCAAGCTGTTTTCCAGAGGGTTGTGCCACGAGACATTCCCCACAACAACGTGTGAGAGCTGCCATTTTCCCTGCGCCTTCAGACTTTATTTTAGCTGTTTTGATGTGTCGGGGGAGGTCTTGGGGCATACAAACCGTTCATCCATTTGCCACCAACCAAAAGGTCATAGGGTTGAGACCAGAGGTGCCTTGGAAGAAAGGCCTGGAGAGCTATTTCCCAAAACAGCCGTTGACACACAGCACCACCAAGAGTCGGAATGATTCAACGACGACACAGTGGTTGCACATGGTTATACTAAGGGGCTTCATAACAGTTGTGGGAAAATTCCTTTCTCTTTTAATTCCATTTTCCCATAAATTTTATAAAATTATATATAGAATGAATGACAAAAGACGAGTGCTCACCTGAAGAGACCAACCCCACAGAGACTATGGAGCTTTGTTTTGTTGGAATTTTTATCCCATTAACAGAAGTCTGCCAAAGGTCCTATCTCATTCTTACCCAAGCTGCAGTCTTCCTCCCCGTGAGGTTCTGCCCAAGTGTCTGAGGAACAAAGCTTGACATATTAGCCACTCCATCCTGGTCGTCTATGGCCTCAGGAAGCTTCCTTCCCCCTGATCTCTCTCTCCTCAGATGTTGATCACCTTTGATGACCAGTACCTGCTGACTGCAGCTGAGGATGGCTGTCTGTTCACCTGGAAAGTCTTTGATAAGGATGGGCGGGGCATCAAGAGAGAGAGGGAAGTGGGCTTTGCTGAAGAAGTGCTTGTTACCAAAACAGACATGGAAGAGAAGGTAAGAGTCGGAGCTACTGGAACGGGATGTGGGAATTCCTTACTGGATAGCCTCCAGTTTCCTCAAAACAGCATCCAAGGTCCAGGGCAGATTCCCACGGCTCCCCACACCCTCTCCGGCCACAGCTCCATGCTGTGGAGACCTCTGGACGTGGCTTCCACCTGCCTTTCCTCTCATCCTGCCCCAGAGAACACTGGCCTGCTGTCTTCTAGTTTGACTGTGATCTGGCTTCCTTCACTCTTTGGGGCCAAGAATCAGGAGCATTCTCTCTCAAGACCATCCTCGGGGATGACCAGTGGTTTTCAGCACATGCTAGGCACATGGATGACAGTCGATAAATAGTTATGAAATTAAGCTGACAAAACTAGCATCACGGTTGTATCAGTGAAATTTAATAACTTAGGATATGGAGTTTCTTGTGTTAAAAAGATTATGAGGCAAAAGACATTTATAGAGGTATAAACATACATACATATGTAAATATAGTAATATATAATGATAGGGATATAGGTCTAGGTACATATATTTATAGGTTAAGTATTAAGGAAGCAGATGGACATT